CTGCATATGACTTGTTGAAAGATTTTGCACTTACCATTAAATCTATCAGGTATGTATGTTATATATTTTAAATGTTGATTTCAGATTTTCCAAAAATTTAATGGTAATTTGAAAAACATTGACCTCATACTTAAAAGTGCCATTAAGCTTGTTAGATTGACAAATTTCAACTGCCCAAACATTTTGCAGAGCTTCTCTTCAACACCCTGTTGCACTGGTTCTATAATAGGATTAATTCCTAATCCCATTTGACAGAAGGTTTCATTCAAACCAGAGCCCCAGCCTCAGGCACTGCAAACAGCAGGATAATGTTCCAAAGCCTCAAGAATTCCTAGACCCAGTATTCTCAGTTTTCACAACCAGTGTCTGTGAGATACATGATACATCAGAAGGCCCCTTAGGGCTCCACCAGGTCCCTGGTTTATATCAACTTACATATTCCAGACTCTCTTGCTTTATACAGTGTTTTTTTCCAGCCTTTATCAGTCTGGTCTCTCATTTGGCTTCCTGTTTTTTATCCTGCCATTCTACTGGCATGGGGAATGTGGGACTCAGTGGGGACCCAGACAACTCTAAACTTTATATGGATACATCCATCCTAAGACTTTTTGGAAGGTCCATTCTTAGGCCCTTCTAGTATTGCCTGGTTAAATATACATCTTTCTAAAGCCTGTAGTCTACACATACTTTAATACTTTATGTTTTTCCCTTTTCTACACTTTAAAATTATATATCTTCACATACATGCACATATGTAATTTACCATGAATCTCTTCATGAAGCTCTTGGTATTTGGGTCATTGTTTTTCAATTTTTTGATATGAGATTAATCAGACCTGTTTGGAGGTTTTATACAGAGAATGAAACTATGGGGATGCTAGAGCAGAGGGAAATGCTCACTATCTTGAGCATCTCTAGGTAGTGTATTTCTTGAGTGGCTCATAGTTATTCAACAGTACCCTAAGAAACGCCACAGACTTTGGTTTAATCTCAAAATCTGGTCCTAGGAATATCATTCATTCATTTATCTAAAATGTATTGAAATACTATTAGTCTGAGACATACGTCTAAGGATTTGAGATGTACAGAATCAACAAATCTATCCCTGCTTTAAACATAATCTTACAGTGTAGTGTGAGGAAACTGACTTGTAAACTATTTCAAAGGCAATAAGGGGTAGGATGACAGATAATGGGGCAAACTTGGATTCAGAGAAGGATTTTCAAATGAAGTAATTTTTTCACTAAGCCTTAAAGGATCTTAAGGGATGGGGCAGAGGAAATAGTGTTTTCAATGTACAGAAATGAGAAAGGGTGGTCTGATATGTCAGGCGTAGGCTTCAATCTCATTCTACTGGCATGGGGAATGTGGGACTTGTCACAAGGATGGGGAAAGACACTGAGTTGTTTAAAGCAACTTTAAAGGCAAGTTGGATAGGTATTGGAAAGGGTCTTAATTCTCATATCATGGAGTTTGGACTTAATATGCCGAATAATGTATAGGCAGTATATAGGCATGAATATGCTATGGGTCCATGGCATATGGTTGGTTTATATATGTGGCAGAGACTCAAAGGCTATGAGACCCAAGCAGGTCAGAATGAGTGTGGATCTGAATTAAGGAAATAGAGTAATGATAGAAAAGAATGGTTGGTTGGAGAAATATTTATGAGATAGAATTCAGAGAAATTGTCAAAGTTCATGTAGCTGGTAATGATAATGAGGTTTCTATTTTAGTTAAGGATACGTAAGAAACAGAGAAGTGAGGATGAAGCTTGAGGAGGACCAAGAACCAAAAACAATGACTTAGAATTTATACATGTCATGTAATACCTGTGGGAATTCGTTCGAGGGGAAATGGTCAGTGTCATAATTATAGGTCTAGGACTAGGAAGAAATTCAGTGTTATAGATACAGATCTGGTCACTCTCTGCAGTAGGTCAGTGAAGACACTAGGAAAAATTTTGGAACTCTAGTGGAACCAAGGCAGATAAGGAATTGCAAAAGGCTGATGAAATGTCAGGTCCTGATTGTGGTCAGTACTTCATCAGCTCAGCTGCACTGTTCATTCTTGGATTTCCTCTCCTTTCTTTTCACCTGCATATTCATTTCTTGTTGCTGCCATAACAAACTACCACAAACTTCATGGTTTAAATCAGCAGATTTATTTTTCTTGCGGTCCTGGAAGCCTGAAGTCCGAAATGGGTCTAACTGGGTTACGGTAAAGATGTTGGCAAAGCTCATTTCTTTCTGGAGACTTTAGGAGAATCTCCTTTATTGTCTTCCACAGCTTCTAGAGGCTGCTGGCATTATTTTGATCATGGTTCCCTTCCACCTTCAAGGCCAGCAATGGTGAGGGAAGTCTTACGTTGCATCACTCTGAGCTGAACTCTCTCCTGCCAACCCTCTCACAAGAATCTTTGACTATATTGCACCCACCCACATAATCCAGGATAATTTTTCTTTTTTTTTTTTCAGGATAATTTTTCTATCACAAAGTCAGCTGATCAGCAACTTCAATTCCATCTGCAACCTTAATTCTCTGTTACCATGTAAACTAACATGGTCCTAGATTTCTGTGAATTAGAACACAAATAAATTTTTCTAAAGATTTTGTATTTATTCAAAATACAACGAGGACGCCGATGTGGGACTCGATCCCAGGACCCTGGGACTATGTCCTGAGCTGAAGGCAGATGCTCAACCCCTGAGCCACCCAGGTGTCCCTAGAACACAAATAAAAGCCACTATTCTGTTTATTACATTCTGTTTTAAAATTTTTTTCTCACATATGTAGGTAAAGGAAGGAATATTTTGATCTTCATAGAAGTAGTTACTTGTGGATTTCAGTATATACTGGACACGGTAGCCAAAAAAATACAAAATAGGCTCCAAAGAAATGTGTGGAGAAAAGGAAGGGACTTTGTGTTGCTGCTATTGAAGGGAGATGGGAGAAGGTTAGATGGGATTTGGTGGCCTTGAAAATCTTCTTGCTAATCGACATGAAGAGGAAGTGCATGGGAACTCTTTTGTTATTTATTATTATTATTATTATTATTATTATTTGGTATACAAGTTTTTTTAAAGGTAAATATATTTATCAGTATTCTTAATATTTTGCTAACATTACATCATCTAGTGGTATTTACTTAATTCTTCCTGCCTGTAGAAAGTCCTTCTTAAAATACTGACTCTCACTAAAATGTGTGCTCTGTGTGTGTGTGTTTCCATTTACAGTGTGTCCTTGCGTGAACTATGTGAAGATGAAGACGACAACGTGGTCTTAGCATTTGAACAATTGAGTAAAAGCTTTTCTGAAAAACTTGATGAAGTTTAAAGACAGAGACTATCCAGACCACTTAAAAATGTTGCTATGGGCATTTTTCAAGTCATATTTTACGATCCTCATACTTTTTGTCAGAAATACACATATGATGGAGTGGAAAGAGCAAACACTTGGATTCAGAATTGTGATCAAACCTGCCATGTTCTCTTATAAGTAGCTTTAGACAAGTTATTTAATATCTTTTAATCTTGGCTTCCTTAGATAGTTGAATAATAATGCTTATATTTCAGCTAGTTTGTGGACTGATTGAGAAAATCCAAAGATTTTTGTGTGTGACCGAAGAAAAAATTTTACTCCGAGAAGCGTAAACAAATATGACATTCTCAGCATTTTCCTCCTCCATGTCATAATTTGTAAAAGTCTATCAAGGCTAGAAAAAGCTATTACAGTATCCTGGAGTAGAAATATATTTTCTCTAATTAACTTAAATGTGATTATATGACTTAGATATATATTTTACCATCTAGTAATCTTGACTTACTTTTTAAAAAAATATGAATGACAGTTTTGGCATAAGTCCAATGAGGCTTTAAAATAAAATATAGCTGGTGATTTGGCTTGATTTTAATTGTATATAAACGACTGAAAACCCACAAATAAATACAATGGGTGTGATCAATTTATCATTGGTCTCTTTGTATTAAATCTGTACACCTTTCAATCCATTTGCACACATCTGCATTTTATATATAATAAATAATTTATGTCTAATAACTTTCCCTCCATAATCTAAGCCTCAGATTATAGTTTTGGAATCTATTTTAGACTCTAAACTTGAGCAGGACATTTTATCCTCAGAGCTAAAAGGTCTGCTCTCTCCTATCTATATGTCTTACTGAAGATAATCTTTTGTATGATATTATTTATACATATATTACATTGGCTTAGAAATACACCTGTGGTTCATTTTGTCTGGAGATAAAGGAATACTCTGTTACCTGGAACTGACCCATTCCTGCATGTGCCATGTTAGGAGACTCCAGTTTTTTCAGACTAAACCCATTCACATTATTTTAAAATGTGCACTGCAACAATTGCTGAACACCAAAATACTTAGAAATTAAAGTGACTTCTACTGACCTCTATAGTCAAAACACTGATACACAATATTAATAGATTGTCACGTCACATTGGTTTCTACCTCTTACTTGTGGTTTCATAAATCTGATGGAGACATGAAGATTTTTTTTCCATATGACTGAGCCAATCTGGTTCCCTAATTTTTAGAGGTAAAATAGGATTATTTCCTATAATCTGTCATTCTGCTAAAAGGGAGTTATATCTAACCTTTTTGCGGTGGGTCTAATGGGAAGCTTCCTTTGTTTCCTTTTTGACTTTTAGCAAAAACTTTAAAAAGTAACTTGGAACAACTTATGAAAAGAGAGATTATACAGGAACTCTAAAAGCATTTTATGTTCCATTCGTTGTAATAATGTGAAATTTTTCTTTCTGTGAAACATGTGCAGAGACCCTGGTGAGATTTACTGGAGAAGCATTATTATCACCATAATTTATTCCTTTTTCCTATGAGAGGAGAAAATCATGTTGGCATTAGGTCTATAAAGGGTCTTCTATAAGAGCCATTTATTAAAAATTTGTATTTTGATAAATACGAATTATAGGTGCAAATGCTGGCATAAGAAATAACATACTATGCTTGCTTCGTCACTGCATAGGTTAAAATTGGAATGATACAGAGATGATTAGCATGGTCTCTATATAAGGATGACATGGAAATTTGTGAAATGTTCTATGTTTAAAAAAAGAAAAATAAAAAACCCATACATATATGGTTAATAATATATGACAAAAGGGCCACATACAAATTACTGATGAAATCATAACCTTATGAAGAAGTGAAGCTTTCCCTTGGCCCAGTTACTGATTCATGTAAAAAAAATGTATATATATAGGCCTAAACTTTTCCTAACATGTCCATATCTTCCTTTCTTTTAATAAAAGTCAAAGACAGAGCAGTCCCATTCCTCCTTGGTCTTCCTTTGTGCAACCAAAGTAACTAGACATAACACAAAAACAATAGGAAACTTGTGACTTGAGAAATGACATGACACTGAGTTTTCTTGCTGTCTCTTGTAGTCTGAGGAAAGGCTGATCACGACCTCACTTCACCATCTCCAGGTGCCATTGGGACCATCCAGCCACTCCCTGACCTAGCATCTATGCGAATAAACAAGGCGGTATGAGGTGGAGCTAATTAGAACCCCGCTTTTACCCCCTTCCCTGGTGTGTGTGTATTGAGGAAGGAGGATGCTGAACCTCTTCCCTCAAACAGCATTAGTAAGAAAGAATGAGTTGGTGACAAGTCCTTTCACAAGAGACTAATCAACGCTGTCCCGCATCCATTCCTGTGACCGCTGAGCTCCCATCCTCATCCTAAAACAACAGAGCAGTGTGAGTGAACCCTTTTTCCCCCTTCCCTGTTGTGGGCAAGGCCTAGTAGGGAAGGTCCATACATATCCCCACTCAGAGGCAAGTAACAAGGCAGTGAAAGCATGATTCCACTTTCACCAGGGAGATGTCAGGAAGCCTGCCAGCGAAGCTGAACTTCAATACGTCACTCTCTGCGTGGAGGCAATGTGAGCTTGTGCTCCTTTAGCCAGAGTGATGCCAGCAGGTCTACAAGAAAGCTGAACTGCCACCCCCACCCCATTCCTCATGCTATACCTTACCTCACTTTCTAAAAAAGCATATTAAATAGGCTTGAGAGTCCCCTAGCATAATATCCAAAATGTCCAAAGGATACAGTAAAAAGCCATTCATCATATCAATAGAGAAATCAAAACCTGAATGAGAAAAAAAAAAACCACTGATACTGATACCAAGATAAAGCTAATGTTGAGATTAAATTATAAGGATTTTACAGTATCTGTCATTAAAGTATTGCAACAAGCAAATGCACATGCTCTTTTATTAAAAACTTATTTATTTTAGACAGAGAGAGCATGAGTGGGAGGGGCAGAGGGAGAGAGAGAGAGAATCACAAGCAGATGCCATACGAAGTGAAAAGCCTGACAGGGGGGCTGATCTCACGACCCTGAGATCAAGATGTGAGCCAATATCAAGAGTCAGTTGCTTAACCAACTGCACCACCCAGGCTCCCTACAATTGCACATTCTTTTGAGACAAATAAAAAATAGAAAATCCCAGCAAAGACATAGAAGTAAAAAAAATATGGAGATGACGTATGATGGATTTGGTAAACTTTCAATAGATCAACAGAATTTGGCAATCTGAGTAACAGAAAGTAGACTGAAAAAGAACAAAGAAAGTTTTAGAGGCCAGTGAGACAATACAAAAAAAAGCTAATGTTCATAAATTGGAGTCTCAGAGGAGAAAAAAAAACTGGGTGGGGTTGAAAATATGCTCAAATAAATAATGGCTGAAAACTCCCCAAATTTAGGAAAAAAAAAAACTACACCTATAGAGTGGACTCCATGCAAAGCAAAGATCATAATGAAATTTCTGGAAACAGAAAATAAAGAAAAATCTTGGAAGCAGACAGAGAAAAACAACACATAACCAATAGTGGAATACAAATTCAATTGACATTGGGTTTCTCATCTGAAACCAGGAAGGCCAGAAGTAGCACAGTTTTCAAGAACTGAAATTTTAAATATCTACCAATTAAAAATTCTATATCCAGTGAAAATAATTTTTTTTTAGAAATGAAGAGAAAATAAAAACTGTCCACTCAAAGGAAATGGAGATAATTTTCACTAGCAAAACTATCCTTTAAGAATCGGTAAAGGAAGCCCTTTATATTTTTTAATTTGTTTTTATTGGAGTTCGATTTGCCGACATAGAGCATAACACCCAGTGCTCATCCTACCAAGTGCCCCCCTCAGTGCCCATCACCCAGTCACCCCCACTCCCCCCTACCTCCCCTTCCACTACCCCTAGTTAATTTCCTAGAGTTAGGAGTCTTCATGTTTGGTGTCCCTCACTGATTTTCCCCACTCATTTCTTTCCCCTTTATTCCCTTTCACTATTTCTTATATTCCCCATATAAGTGAGACCATATAATGTTTGTCCTTCTCTGATTGACCTACTTCACTCAACATCATCCCCTCCAGGTCCATCCACTTGGAAGCACATGGTGGGTATTTGTCGTTTCTAATGGCTGAGGAATAACCCACTGTAGACACAGACCACAGCTTCTCTATTCATCATCTTTCGATGGGCACCGAGGCTCCTTCCACAGGTCGGCTACTGTGGACATTGCTGCTAGAAACATCGGGGTGCAGGTGTCCTGCCGTTTCACTGCATCTGTATCTTTGGGGTAAATCCCCAGCAGTACAATTGCTGGGTCGTAGGGCAGGTCTATTTTTAACTCTTTGAGGAACCTCCACACAGTCCCAGAGCGGCTGCACCAGTTCACATTCCCACCAACAGTGCAGGAGGGTTCCCCTTTCTCCACATCCTCTCCAACATTTGTGGTTTCCTGCCTTGTTAATTTTCCCCATTCTCACTGGGGTGAGGTGGGATCTCATGGTGGTTTGGATTTGTATTTCCCTGATGGCAAGTGATTGCGGAGCATTTTCTCATGTGCGTGTTGGCCATGTCTGTGTCTTCCTCTGTGAGATTTCTCTTCATGTCTCTGCCCACTTCATGATTGGATTGTTTGTTTCTTTGCTGTTGAGTTTACTAAGTTCTTTATAGATCTTGGATACTGGCCCTTTATCGGATATGTCATTTGCAAATACCTTCTCCCATTCTGTAGGGTGTCTTGTAGTTTTGTTGACTGTTTCTTTTGTTGTGCAGAAGCTTTTTATCCTGATTAAGCCCCAATAGTTCATTTTTGCTTTTGTTTCTCTTGCCTTCATAGATATATCTTGCAAGAAGTTGCTGTGGCCGAGTTCAAAAAGGGTGTTGCCTGTGTTCTCCTCTAGGATTTTGATGGAATCTTGTCTCACATTTAGATCTTTCATCCATTTTGAGTTTATCTTTGTGTCTGGTGTCAGAGAATGGTCTAGTTTTATTCTGCATGTGGATGTCCAATGTTCCCAGCACCATTTATTGAAGAGACTGTCTTTCTTCCAGTGGATAGTCTTTCCTCTTCTGTCGAATATTAGTTGACCATGGAGTTGAGGGTCCACTTCTGGATTCTCTCTTCTGTTCCACTGATCTATGTGTCTGTTTTTGTGCCAGGACCACACTGTCTTGGTGACCACATCTTTGTAGTATAGCTTGAAATCCGGCATTGTGACGTGGATGGAACTGGAAGGTATTATGCTGAGTGAAGTAAGTCAATCAGAGAAGATAAAGAACAATCATTATATGTTTTCACTCATACAGGGAATATAAAAAATAGTGAAAGGGATTAACACGGAAAGGACAGAAAAAGAGTGGGAAAAATTAGAGAGGGAGATAAACCATGAGAGACTCCTAACTCTGAGAAACAAACAAGGGGTAGTGGAAGGGGAGGTGGGCGGGCGGATGGGGTGACTGGGTGACGGGCACTGAGGGGGGCACTTGACGGGATGAGCACTGGGTGTTATACTATATGTTGGCAAATTGAACTCCAATAAAGAATATATATGTATGTTTTTAGATATATATTTTTATTTTACTTATATATATGATGATAAATGGGGGTAAATTATTATTATCTAAATTTAAAAATTCAAATAACATCTTAAATAAAGAGATAAAATATGTTACAATAATAAAAATTTCAGGAATGAGAGTTGTTTGAGGTAATGTTCAAGGGGAGGATAAAATCATTGATGAATTTGGGCTTCTTTTCCTTTATAGACTTATTTATTTGTGTTATGAGAGAGAGGGAGAAGGGAAGGAGCAGAGGAAGAGGGAGAGAGAAACTCAGGCAGCCTCCATGCTGAACGCAGAGCCTGGGCTCAATGCCATGACCCATGAGATCATGACCTGATCCAAAACCAAGACTGGGATGCTTAAGTGACTGAGCCATCCAGGCATCTCAGTTTTGGACTTTTATAAACTAAATAAATTTATATAAATTATATAAATTTGTCAGTATCTATTGAGAGAACAGAATTTGAGTGTATAATGTCCAAACTACAGAAGAAAATAAATAGCATGAAGAAACATCTAAGGCAATCAGAAAGTAATCAAGAAAACAGATAAAAAGATTTAAAATACAAAGCACAGGGATCCCTGGGTGGCGCAGCGGTTTGGCGCCTGCCTTTGGCCTGGGGCATGACCCTGGAGACCCGGGATCGAATCCCACATCGGGCTCTTGGTGCATGGAGCCTGCTTCTCCCTCTGCCTGTGTCTCTGCCTCTCTCTCTCTCTCTGTGTGTGTGACTATCATAAAAAAATAAAAATAAAAAAAATACAAAGCACAATATAAAATGGTAGCTACATTTAGCTACAATGGTAGCTAAATATCAATTGATATTTGATATATCAAATATATCAATTATATTAAATTTATTATATTGAGGTTCTTGATTTGCCTCTGATTTTATTCCCTACTCTTTTCTCTTAGAAATCTTTTAATGTAAAAGTAATACTCCTTTTATAACCTATTGCTTTTATTTATGCAAAGAGAAAAAAGAATGCTTATGGAATGGCTTTGATTTCACATCACTTTGTATTCTAGAAATGGTAGATAATTGTAAAATTAAGGGAAAACATTTAAGTGAATGGAGATCTCTAGGAGATTCACAATTATTTCCTCCCAATGAAATGTAGCTTGCATTTTTGGTGACACTAGCTTCCCAATTTAAGAGGTGAATAAGATCCAAATTATTTTAGGCTA